ATGCTTCTGTATTTCATCTGGCTTGTTCTTGTGCTTCTGGTAGTTTGTTTATTAAATCAAAAGCTCATGACAAAATACTGTTTTCTAAGTTTATTTTTGTATTAGTTTCTTTTATTAGCAAGATTAATTCTATAGATAATATAGCTTGTCTTCTATAAGTCAGCTGAAAAGATGTATATCTGATAGTAGCATGCTTCTTAGTTTGATAAGCAAAAAGTACAGCAAGAAGATTTATATCACAATCTTCATTGGTTCTATTTTTGCTAATAATTCACACAATGTCTATTTAGTCTTTCTATTATACCATTTGTCTATAAATGATATAGTGATAAAAACTTATATTTTATAAGAGAGTTTTTATATAGAACTTGAATTATTTACTTCAAAAGTTAGGTTCTTGGTCTAAAAAAATAATCTTGAGTATTTCATATCTACAAACTATTTTTGAAGGATGACTAAAGTGGTGATAAATCATGTGATATAATTATAACTGTGATTGGCCAACAGTGACAAAAATTATAATTGGTCAAAAAATATGTTCAGTTTTTTTTAGTTTTTTATCATGAAAAATTTTTTTAATCATAAAAAAAAATTTTTTTAACCAGTGTAATGATACTGTAATCATCATATGATACTATCAAAAATTTTTTTTGATCTTGATGTTTAGAATTTTTTTTTTCTTATAAATAAATATATAAGTTTTTTTTTTGTTTTTTTATAATTTTTTTTTATTAATCCTGTTAACCTACACTAAAGTGAAGTGCATCTGATATTAACCCAGCACTTGCTTATATTGACTTTCATATTCAAAGTAAATTTGATATTAACCTAACATCTGTTTATAATATACTAATTTTGTATTTCATTCAGTTTGTAACATATTAGCCTGGTATCTTGACTTTTGAAAGCTTTTTTTTTATTTTTTTTTAAAAAACACTTGTAATAAATACTAAAATATGATAGCATAGGTATCAATATTTTTTTATAAAAAAATAATTTTGCCAGATTTTTAATTATATTTGGGTCAAACTTTGTAAATGAAAACTTTTAATTTATTTTTTATGATTAAATTATTAGCATGCTAATATTTTTTTTTTTATTAGAATAAAATAAAACAAAAAAAAAGCTATATTATTTTTTAATTAAAAGTTGTCATATCTACTTCTTCTTCAGATGTCATAGCTCTCTTAGATAGTAAGTCTTTTATGCTTTTGGATGCTAACTCTGCTTCTTCAGTCATTATGTCAATATCAAGTCTTACACCAAATAAAAGGCACAGTCTTTTATTCAATGTAAATAGTTCTTTAGAAGTTCACCTAGAGAATTTTGACAATAATTAGTAGCCGCTAGTTACAAATATTTGGACCTAGTAGGGTTCATATAAAAATGTGAATAGTGATATTTGGAAAATTTTTGTATGCCATTTCACAAAGCACTAAGAATCAAGTAACCAACAAAAGGAAAATATTCTAACTGAAAAATAGTGAATTACAAAGATATGGCCATCTGGCCTATGTTCTGCAAAAATTAAAATTTTTTAGTTAAGTGCTTCCAAGATAGTTCAGATAAAATGATATAAGAGTTTCTCCGATTATACATATTTGTTATTAGAAGGCAATAAAATAAAGTGATCAAAGACCATTAGAAGTTTAGTTGAAAGTGAAGCAGTTAAAAATTATTCTCTATCAGCAATTACAGCTGCCGTTAAAAAGTATGTAGCAACCAAGTTAGGTCTTGGCATAAGCATAAGTGAGCTAAATTGCAAAGAAGTGACAAACATCAAGTACAAGATTCATGGTTCTATAAAAGCCTACCTTATAGAAAATTCAAATTTATGAGTAAATCTCTCTAAGGCTAAATCTTATTTAATAGCAAAAGGATATCTTGTTGAAAACTATTATATTTCCTAACAATCCACTAAAGGTATTGTATTTGCACATCCTGAACAACTAAAAAAACTTGAGTAATATAGGTGGTTAATACTTATAGATTTAACTTACAAAACTAACTGATATGACTTGCATTTGTTCACTCTTTACATTCATAATACTTATGGCTGCTGGAATATGGAAGCTTATTTTTTTGTAAGTAGTGAAGATAGTAAAACAGTTGCAGAAGCACTGTTAAAAATCTATAACAAGTTTTGTTGCTGGTTCCCCCATTATATACTTTTGGACAATAGTAGTGTTGAGACTAAAAGTGTTGAAAAAACCTTTTCCAGTATAACAGCTGATAAACAAGAATGCCAAATTATTCTTTATATCATTTACAATATAAGAATATGGATGCAATGAATATATGAAAAAAAATTCATGATGTTATGATTGTGGTAATGCACAAATAAACAAAGATTGGCTGTGAAAGCCTTGTTTAGAAAGCTATTGATCATTGTTCTGTTTCTGTTATATAAAATTATATTAGAAGGAACTACACAAAAAATATACAGCAATGGGGTTTGTGGGCTCACCAACATTTCCCTTTGCTTTTGCAAGTTACATCTACAAACTCATTAAAATCTTTTCATAGCAAATTAAAGAAGACAACATCTTCATTGCATGGTTTAATTGGTAAATCTGCTTTTTTTAATTATATTTATCTGCTGCCTCTTCAGAGATGATTATTGTTTGCACTATACAGAATAGCTGTAAATGGATATAAGAGTTTATTTTTTATAAATAAAAATTACTTTTTTTTTTTATAAATTAGATTTTTTTTTATTAAAAATTTTTTTTTTTTGAAAAATCTATATGGATGGGGTTTTTTTAAAATCTTGTTTTTTTTGAAAAATCTAAGAATGAGAATGATTATGTGAATAGGTGTTGGGTTTTGAGTTTTTTATAAAATAAATTTTTTTTTTATTGCAAAAAATCATTCATGCCTATTTATTTATTATTGTTTTATTAATTTTTTTTACCTGTCTTTTATTCATTTACATTTCAGATGCTATGCATAATATACATCGGAAAAGTTATATATATAGATATATATCGATTACTAACCATCCAGATATATAGCGATAGTAATCACCCCTGCTGAGTTTC